TGTAATCAGAGGAAAATAGGGAAGATAGAAAAAGGTAATGAAGCCTTGCGAAGTTAGGGCAAGTGGTCTAATTTAAAGAAAAAATATAAGTTCGTTCTAGTGACACATCTACAAATTATTTATAAAAATAATTTGATTGAATCTGGATTGTTGTGCAGACAATCTGGCCCATTATATTTATGAATGTTGCCGCAGGTGACAGTATTTTAGTAACAATTTACTTTGAGGACATATTGATGATATACATGTTGATGAATATTAGTTTCAAAGAATTCTGGCTTTAAAAGGCATTAAATCTCTAAGCTGCAGGCACGAAAAAAGCTCTTCTAGCCGGCGATTTAGAATTATTCTTTATGGGCTACTTTTATTATGCGTCAATGCATAACTAAAGGAATTCAATAAATAACATTAAAAAAACAATTCTCCATTTGAATTATTTATATCAGATGTACGTCTTAATTAAGCCTGTGTCGATTGAGCTTCTGTCGCATGCCAGCTTTATCATAAACAAAAATTATGATATAAATAATTTAAGTGTTAACCATACATAAAGTGAAGAAAGACTGCCTTAGAGTAGTTGCCAGTCTTTTATTGATTAAATGCCATCTTAAAGGAAGTGATACTTCATACAACTTCGAATTCATAGTTGGTGGTAATATGTGGATCGTTAAGTCAAAAGTAGCGATCTAGCTATGAACATCCAAGTACCACCAGGTAAGTAGTTCTTTGCGTTTACATTAAGACAGCCGCTAAACTTTTCCGTTAAACATTTTACAGGACAGTTAAATTAGAAGGATATTCTAGAGCCTGGAATTTTTAAATATGCAATTTTATCTTCAAGAGCGATCTTCGATAACTTTTTTACATTGTATTGTTCGCATTAATGGCTCCATAGGCCAGCAAGTGCCTTGAATATCATTCCAAGCGAGTGTTTCGCATTTCGCCTGAGGAAAGAGCCTCGAAAAGTGCTGTTGTACATTAACTTGGTCACCTAGGGCGCGAAAATTGTCTAGTATAAAGCTCGAGGTCAAATAATATCTTGAACAGTTACTAGCTAAGGGAGTTGCTTGATAATGAACTAATTGGAATATTCTTGGCACCGAAACTCATTTTAATTTTGTTCTACGTTTATAATAGAACAGAAATATGTTCCCCCTTTCGATCAAACATCAGAACGAACTATTTCAAGCTTAGTTTACTCATGGACATAATTTATCTTGAGCGTTTGCCATATGATAACTTGCCAATTTTAAATAGATACAAAATCTAAATTGGATCATTCAATTCATATGTTCAAGTCAACATTAGTGTATCACATCATGCCTCCATCGAGGCAATAATAACCGTTCATGTCCGGATCATCAATGAAATCTATTTAACTTAGCCTTAGCATTATGGTAAAACAGTAAAAATTAGACCTTTATCATGGATTGTTTAAAAAAAGGGCCGATAGCTGAATTCACCCAGAATGATCTAATTAGGCATCACGTTTCCATTGGATTTCACATAGCCTTGTTTTCCCAAAGATCATTCTACTCAAGAGTAAACAGCACTTTCAACCTCGCTTAATTCTCTCCAGCTGTCGAGACTGCCTGAATTGAGTAGTAGGTGTATCCAGCTTCAAAATTCGCTTGCTTCAGGCGAGCGCAATCATTCAAAGTAAGCAGCAAACCTACCATGACAACATCGAAAGGCGAATGGCGAAACGACATGCTAACTCTTGGTATCAGACTGTGTATATAAAGAAGAAAAAATATTGGAGAATAAAGTCTGATTAAAAAAGGAGAAACTGAAAGAAAGAGAAAAGCTATTAAGGAAAGCCAGTGAAAGCAATATCCATTTTGGGAAATTTAATAGATACGATATTTGAATTTCAATAAGATATTTTGCATATTTTGTAGTCAACTCCTTTTCATAACAAGACCCACCGATAGTATGCTATAAAATTACGTTTATGACGCAACGTCAATATCGGGTCTCATAGCAAATATTTGCTTGTCCCCAAATATGTGAGGCCTCTTTACTCAGAAGGCAAAACAGTCTTTTGTAAAATAAATGGAAAGCGATGCAATGGCCTCAAGGTAGTACTTCTGGAAAGGTTTGAGAAATAATAAACGAAGTGGAAAAAATAGTAAGCCCCTAGTATTTCGATAGAAAGGAAGATTAGGACAATAAAAAGATCATTCAGATTGAATCTGCAGAAAAACACTAGTAGCCATATGCTATTTCACTATAATAAAGCTTGGTAACTGAGATATAATAAGCAAATACGAATAAAGCTTAGCAGTATCATTTAAATTCTCTTAAGTTTGCCTATTTAAATGTAGTAGTTTCATACAAATCTTGTTGAGATAAGACTATTAAAACGAAGATAATGTAATGGAAAGTGACAATAAGATTAGCCATTACGGAATGAAGAAAATGCTTGAATTCCAAACTGATTTTTGCTGTACAATACGTTCTTCCATGGCGGCCTTCAGATTCGAACTTTCCTAAGTCCTGTCATTAGCATCAACTAGATTCAAGCAGTATACATTCAGGGCCCACCACAAACAGAATGCCATTTAGCATGCAGTTGAGTGGTAATAATACTAGACTAATAAATCATTTGTAATTGAAAATGCATAGTAGTCTATCATTAAAAGTAGCCCAACTATGGCTGCGAGTTAGAGGGCATGTTTCACTTTGAAGACCATACCTTCAGGCGCTATCCTTGGCGCCGAGCCACTTCTTGTTAAAACGATAAAATAAATCAAACCTCTTTTGTCATTTTAGATTGAATTGCTGTGCCATGTTTTTTCCTTTCTGCCCAGGTAAATATTCTATATCCTAGACCTTTATGTTTCTCCCTACCTCCCGTTTTAGATAGCGAAGTTTCTCCCCAACTTAAATTTATACCATGCACCTTCCTGTATACTAGAGAGGTGCGTCTATTCATGTGGGCCTATTGGAGCGCAGTCAACTTTATAGTCAGTTTACTATCCTATCTGGAGGGATTCTTCAGCAGAATACCTAAATCCACTTAAGCTGATTTTCATTAATTTGTCCCTTCTATCCCAAAAATGAATGTGTTATCTAGCCTGCTAAGTTTTCTCACTCGACCTCAGGCATCCTTTGAAACTCATTTTTTACCTATGATACTCATTCTCAAGAATGAATTCCTACCAACCTAGGAGGCCTATGTGATGTAGGGTCTGATAGTTGAGTTTATCCACAATGAGATAAACAGGCCTTATGGTGCCGATGAATTTCCTTTAGCCCTACCATCCAAAAGTCTATCTCATTCAGGATGGACTACGGTTTCGTACCCATC